TTTTTGGCGAAAATCTACTGGCACTAAGTTCTCATGAAGCACTTAATTAATTTTATTCCATAATTAGTAGACTAACCTGTATGATGAGAGTTCCGATCAATATGTTTTGACAGCTAGGGTAAGAAAGTGGCTATTTATGTTGTTTCCGTACATTATATCATCATAATTTGTAGTAATCCTTCCCTTCTCCCATTTGCCATTTCCCTAGCCTAACCTTCCTTATGTTAGACGGAATAGCATAAAGCTTTTTAAGCTCCTCTTGAAATGCGTTGGGTATTTTATGCATAACATCAGAACAATACATCTCAAGTCATCCAACTTTTCTGAAGTCTTTCAAATTTTCTTCTTTCTTCTTTTTTTCTAGCAGAATTTAGATTTTCTATTCGCTAGTGCCTCGTTTAGAATACCATAAACGTCTGATTCTAATATTTCTATGCCATTGACTTTATTGGGGATTTTAATGAAACTACTGAATTGTTAAAGGTTGAACATCCCTGTACAGCAAAACACACAACCCAAAAAGGCAGTATTCCTCCTTTCTGTTAATTGTACACACTGAAAACCTGATGTTAAGACTCATTTGATGTACCCCTTCTAAAAAACTGTTGTTACAGTTAGGTTTATGTTCTCTTTTCCTGCCTGAGAACCCCATTAGTCTTCCAGGGAGTCGTAGATATGTGGATTCCCAAAATTTCAGCAGTAACTTCTAATCAATAATGCAATACCTTTTGATAGGAAATCATAATGTGTGTGTGAGCGTAAACTTGAGGATTACAAATTTTGCAAGTGAAGTGTTCTATCAGAAAATGTACTTTAAATGATGACAGCAAAGTCCTTTAAAAGTATTGATCTGTCTGTATTAGGTATTCCTTTTCCTGTTGACTTTTCTTAAGCTGCCATACTGTATTTTATCCATCCACAATATCTGATAAGCTTTTCTCTCCAGAGTCAGTGCAATGTTTACAGCTGCCGTATGTGAAATAATTTTCATATTTCTTTTTTTTGGATGCTGTGAGCTCTGTCTGTGATCAATCTCAATGTGTGTGTGCATGTTTAGAAACATTCAATGGCATTCCCCAATTTACTTGATGTACGAATGAGCATGAATGCTGGAAAGATCATTCTTGCAGGGTCTACATATCATTGTAATGATTGTTGAGGTAATTCCAGTTTGTTAATATACCTAGTTCAATTTTTCTGATGTGTGTTTTGAGGGCAGAAGTCCCAGCATCATGTTTAGATTATTTGTTTTGAAATAATTGTTCACTTTTCACTATAACTATTCAGAATTATGGAATTTTGAACCGTGTTGGTTCTTAAGCTGAAGTTGTTTGACAAATGGGGCCATCTAGAGAGACCTGTCTTTGTAATTTGACTTAATTAGATTTCAATGAATAATGTATGATTTTAGTAACTACCTGTTTAGTAAAGTACTGTACTCTTAATTTTTAGAATCTTGATTATGGTAAAATTAAATTAAATTTTCAGGCAGCTTTGAAGTTAATTCAGCTTTGTTTAGGTCATGGTTTTTATCTTAAAATCTGCTACACAGTTATTCGTACCTCATCAAGATTTTTTGCATCCTGTTTTCCTGTGTGTCATAAATTTAGGGACACGACTGAAAAACAATAATTCTGACGTAAAGTATCCTGTTAAGTTTAATTTGGTGTAGCATGTAACTGATCAGAGGGGCCTATCCATCATCACTAACTATGCCATAAAGGTGAATTCTTATCTGTCATTTTGTCTCATTGTTAATGACTAAGTTAAACTCACATACTTGTTCTATCAGGAAAATATCTCTGCAAAAATTTTGGTTCAGTGGCATTTAAGTTTTAAAAGATCATAATTGAAACAGTCTTTTCATCTCTATAAGTGTGTTTTGGACATTCAAAGTGGTTTCTCTCAATGTTTCCTTTGTGCAAATCAGCCATATTGTGATAACCTTCTTTACTGCTCTGAATTTTTGTTCAGTGGAATGAAGAAACCATTTGTTAAAGTGTTGTGTACATTTTTATTTAAGTATTTTGCGTGTTACTTGGTTGTACTATTTGTTGAAATTGAAATTTATTTATGTTTATGCTCTTCTATTCTAAAGCAATAGTTGAGAAAAAATTATATTGGGCATGTCACTCAATGAATATTTTTAGTAAGAATGATGCGTATTGAAGCAACTCTGATTTAATTGGTAATTAAATTAATTTGATTCTTTTTACAAAGAAATGAATATATGTACTTCTGTTTGTAAAGATTGACATAATGTGTAAATACACACACACGTATATATATTTATATGTATGTACAGGTATCATGTAAATTTGGCATATTCAATTAAAAAGTTATGAAAGTTTCTGCTGCATTTTGATTTCATGTTGTATCCCTTCTCTTCTTAAAATAGAATGGGACTGTTTTGTAACAAGAAATGAGGTTAACTAATGACTTGAAACATTCAGTCTTTTCAATTTTATCACTACTGTATTCCAGGTTCAGTTGGCGGCGTTAGTTGCCAACGCAGTGATTGTAATTAAACAAGAAGAGCATCAGGGCATCAAACATGTTTGATACATTAGGAGAAACCTCGTTCTTTACCCAAGTTTGGTCTGGTGTGATTATGAAATGAAAACAGAAAGATCATTGTTGTTTATGATCGCTCTTCAAAACTTTTCGCGCCGACGCAGTTTTAGCTTTTCTCAATAGATGGCGCTGTTCGCGCATGCGCTTGATTGTTTTTTTCGTGTTAGAAGAATTTCATTTGAGATAG